TAAGAACAGTCTGGCACAGTTAGTGATATGCAAGTGCTTGGAATCACTGCTAGTATTCTCTGACCAAGTGCCTGGTGGAAGACGGGTGGGGGAGAGGGGGGCGTCAGAGGTCCAGGAGCCCTTCTGAAAACAGCCTGGATTCAAGCTATGGGCTCTCCACTCTTGCCTTCCAGAAGCAGTGAGATTTTATTATGAAAAGTCCCTCCCCAACTCTTGAGGGCCAATGAAAATAATCCCTGGCCATACCTCCACCAGTGGCCAGGAGCCCAGCCCATCTCTGGAGGATGGTGGCCCTGCAAAGGAACCAACAAGGCACACAGGAAACCTGCCATTCTGCAAACCCCAGAAGCAAGGCATCCACCCACTTACACAGAAGGCCTCTGCCGCACCTCACATGGAAGGATGGCTGGCCAGGGGTGGGTGAATGGGATGGAGCCTTCTTGCAAACTGGATAGAACAATAGTACTTGGAAAAGAAATTCTAGATCCACTTAGGGATCATGTGGATGAGGGCACACAGATGTTGCTCACACCCACCCAATTCCTGCTCTTAACGTCACTCGAGTAGTCCAGGTCCTGCATCCAGTCTGCGAAGAGAAGAGCAAGTCATTTGGCAGGGGCCCAGTTTAGGAGGTGGCTTTGTAATATGAGCAGTGTGTCCACTAACAACCAGAGCAAGACCATTAAGTTCATTACACCTGTCACTCTGCCAGCTGACTATCCAAATTGCCAGAGATGAAAGTACATTATGCCCAGGAGTGCCACCCAGCCCCCGCCCAGGGCAGCACCACACTTATCTCAGACAATTTGTTCTCAATGTCTGCACCTGCAGAAAGAACGCAACTGTAAACAGCTTGAAACTTGGCTCTGAGAAACCATCGGGCCAGAGCAGGTCCATCTAAGAGCAAAGTTTAGTTTCTTGGAGCAGGTCCCTGCGAGGAAGACTAGGTGCCATATGCCCTGATGAGGAGGAAGAAAGGGGGGGGGGCAGGGTAAGGGGGCAAAGCTACCAGCAAAACTAAGGACACAGAGCTGCTACGTGGATTCTGCTGCCCCGAAGCACTGCCAAAAATATAGTGAGGGACACACCCTTTTCACTTCCGAACCAAGTCACAGAATTGTAAGCAGTAGGCAGAGGCCTTCCCTGCAGCTGCACAGCCAACAGGCTCCCTGGGTGCGCACCGCCTGGGCCGCCACTGGCTGCAGAGTGCGTTTGCAGTGCAAGCGCGTTGCAGACAGCGGTAATTTATTTATCCCTGTCATGTAACATTAGCAATCTGTCTGGAGCTTGGCAAGCAGCAACTTGCACTGTCATATAAACTGTCTGACAAACTTAAAGTTTCATAAATGCTTCTCTTTTCCAGCACACAATAAAACATCATTTTTAAAAAGTTATCTCCTTTTCTGTTCCTTTTCTTTCTTCCCCTTCCAAAAAAAAAAAAAAAAGGAAGGAAAAGAAAGAAAAACAACAAAAGAACCCATGCAAACAGAAATGATCCCTCAGCAGGATTCTTAACCTTAAAAGTCTCAACATTTTTCCAATGCCAAGTAAAATAAATAAATGGGGGGGGGAAAAGGACAAAATCTGCAAAACAAAAGTACAGTCATTAAAAATTAATAAAGGGTGTGGACATGAGCTCCTACCCCCGTCTGCTCATGGGGATTTGAGCCAGACATTCTGCATCCTCATTAAGTGGTGTCTGGCAGGCTGCCGGAGTTTTAGTGGGTTCTGGGAATGCCAATATATTAACCAGAGGACTTTTTGCATACCCTTTAGAGTTTTTATTCTAGAAAAGTCAACCATTTGGCACTGTGCAGCCTTATTTTTGTCCGGGAAAGCTCTCAGCTGCCAATCGAGGGAGAACTTATAGCTATGTTCTTAGTAATTTCCAAGACCTATCTGGAAAACAAGCGTGGTGGGAAGAAAAGTCCTCACAAAAACAGCTGAAAAGGCCAAAGTACCATTTTTAGTGGGAATTCAAAGAAAAGCAATCCATACTTAAATCACCTGGATATGACACAGCATAGATATTATTTTCAAGTCCTCCTGTGATAGAGGAAAAGATAATATTAATTGGAAATATAAATCCAATTAATAGTATAGGTGCTTGGCTATTTCCGTTACGGGCTTAACAGTGAAGCAAGTAATGCCAGACCAAAAAAAAAAAAAAACTCCCTAAAAAATGGCAGGTCTTGTGGCCTAAATTTTCAAATAGTAGGCAGAAGCTTTACATTCCTATTTTAAAACTTAAGATTCACCTTCCATGAACATCCATAATATAGGTCAAGGTGTAATTGTAGACTAACAAATCCCATGTAGCAGAAAGTCACTTTGACATCAGATGATAATGGCTTCCAGGCGAGTTCTCTGAGACCTAAAAAAAGGAAAGGAGGAATGGAAGGCGGAAGGGAGGAGGAGGAAGAAGGGAGGAAAGGGCAATTTGGGACTACTTAGCTATTTTGCTACTGTTCACATATAAATAGCCATGTGCCTATATAAAGTGTGTTAATAAGCATTTCTAAAAATTTTCCAGGTTAACATGGAATAATCTTTTATAGCTATTGCTCCTTGAGTTTTCTCTATTAACTCTCACCCAAAAGGACAGACACATCAGAGAGACTCCCTAAGCCGAGATTCAGAAGAAAGATGAGGGGGGAAAAAACATGATGAGGGCTACCAGAAAGATCTAACCCAGCGGTTCTTAACCTGTGGGTCGCGACCCCTTTGGCAGTCGAACGACCCTTACACAGGGGTCGCCTAAGACCATCCTGCATATCAGATATTTACATTACGATTCATAACAGTAGCAACATTACAGTTATGAAGTAGCAACGAAAATAATTTTATGGTTGGGTCACAACATGAGGAACTGTATTTAAAGGGCCAGAAGGTTGAGAACCACTGATCTAACCCGTCAGTCACAAGTGTCCCTGCCCTGAGTCCTCCAAGTGCTTGGGTTTTACAGGGTGACACAGAGCAACCACCTCCTGCCCAGACCATAGGGTGACTGAATGCTGGGCTGACTGCATGCTGGGCAGTGCAAAGGGACCCAGACAGAGCTTGGTGGTCTCTCCTTGGCAGCAGCCCAGAAACTACCTTCAGAGAGCAAAAGTCACTCTCACCTCCCCATTCCCCTGTCCGGCTGGGAGTTGCCCCTCCAGAGGCCCAGATACAACACTGCGTCCATGAACTGTAAGGCTGCTCTGCAGAGCTGCGAAGTCAACCAAGACCACAGCACAGTCCCAAACGGAAAACACCTCTACAGATGGGCCCTTACTCTCAGTGCGCCAGGCAACTAAACTATTCTTAGGACACTGACAGCAGTTGGGGGAAAATAAATATTTGTCTATGTATGTATATACTCGGAGGTGGGGGGGGGGAGGGCTGTGAAGGTGGACTTTGAATCCAACAAATTGGCACAAAATCCCCAAATAAGCAGCTGGCACTGCTGGGTTCCTCTGCAGGGTTGTGGTCATGCAAACCAAGGCCCTAAAAGGATTCAAGAGACAGCCCCCAAAGCCTACTGGGAATAGTCCTCTTCATCATAAATACAAACCTACACAAACTGGAACCATGGCCAATGAGGGCAAATTCTTCCAGGGGCAACAGCAGAATGTTGGAAACGTAGAGGGATATTTTAAATCAAGAGAGGAATGCCGCTACAACTCCATTACAACAAATCCCTTACTAGCATTTACAGACTGGCACCTAATTCCTAACAGTGTGTTCAAATGTCAATAGTAACAGGAAGCTCTCAAAAGAATTAAGCTTCCAAAGATCATGAAGAATTTCTCCCATTTTTAAAAGGTACTGCTCTGCATTCAAGGGTTGATAGGAAACCAAATATTGTAATCCATAAATGTGCATGGGTAATATTCTGATCTACTCATTTGTCTATGTAATGACTCAAATTTGACATTATGATCCTTTACTAAACATAAAGAATGTGTTCCGAGAGAATTCTGCAGAATATAAAGGCAGATGTACTGATGACAGTAAACTCAATATAAATAGCAGAAAAGACTAAATACGCATATGCAAAATGCAAAACACGGCTTGTGCAATGACAGCTTCTCGGTGCAGACTCTACAGAATCTTTCCTGTAATTCAATACTCAGTCCTGAAGCTCCAGAGGAAATACAAATGGGAGAATACCTTCCTTGGCTAGCCAGACAAGAGGAAAGGGCCATCTTAAAGAGCAGTTTCCCAGCCCTAGTCCTGAGGGAAGGCACCAACCACCATGCCAGTCACAGTACCCAGATATTTTTAAGAGCCAAAGCTGTTCACCATCTCTACCCACCTCCACTGCAAGAAACTTACTAATGGTAGCTCTCTGAATCAACACTCTTTACAACTTATTTCACCTTGCATCCCACAATGCCAAGCACACAGTAGGTCATCAATCAATATCACAATCACATTTAACATTTAGAAAGGAGCACTGAACTATAAGTGGAGGGGTCCAGGGACAAGAAGTTGCCAAAAATATAAGAGAGAAAAAGAAGGGAATAGATGGGACACAAAGGAAGAGAAAAGAAGCAAATCAAACTTATCCAATGCTAGCTAATTAAAAGACTGAAGAAAATAAAAATTAAGCCGGTTTATGTGGCCATTGCCACTCAGCAGTCATTCCTATGCCTGGGTAGGAGGAGCGAGGAAGCCCTACTTGCTATAAAGAGTTTCTTGCAGTCTAGACAAGCAGCGCGGTGCCCTGCCAGCAAACCCAGGAAACGGGGCACTGACCCGTGCGCCTTCTCCAGGTGCCACCCACCCACAACGCGCCCATGTCGTCCTCCAGAAAATCCGCCACGTTGGGAAGCCTCCTCCTTTTCCAATTTAAAAAAAAAAAGTTTAAAAACAAGCAAATGTCCTCTCTGCCCCCATAACGAATTAACCTGAGTAGAGCCTGCCCACTGTCTTCCAGCAGCGTACTTGCAGGGCGCGCCCCCAACCCCACCCTGGGCGGCCCACCGGACAGGGGCACCGGAGAGCCTCCTCACCGCTGTGCAGGCTGACCCCACAACAAAGGCAAGTGCCGGGCCTGGGCTGGGTGCTCGTCGCTTCCTGTTCATTCCACCGTGAGGGTCAGAGAGAAATTCAACACACGCCTGCCTGCTTCCTCCAGAGCTCGGAGACCCAACCTCAGTGTAACAGCAGCCGCCCGAGACAATCGACTTCCCAGCCAATGCCGGGAGCTCCGGGCGGCCCCGCGACCGACGTCAACGCGCGCGGGG